CTTACATCGTTGTAACACCAAATACATGACATTAAATGCTTTACGACTTTCACCATAATTCCACGGAAAGCTCCGATAATTGCTGTAACGCCTTGTACATTGGCCACCAGCTTAGAACCTATCGATTCCCACTCTTGTAGCGGCAGACTTGAGATGTGGGTTGCATAGATTTCGGGTGAAGTGGATGTGCTCTGGACTCACTGGACCTTACAGGTCTGGGATCATACATGACGCTCAGGATTAGTGGTTTGAGATTCTGACAGTTGTATCAAACGTTCTTCACACAAAATGTACGTGTTACCTGAATGTTTCTTCTCATACGCTACTGAGTAGATTTAAAATAAACTTGGTATTAGAGGAATCTAAACTAGAATTTGTCTGGCTCGTTTAATTTTGATTTCAATTCAATTCATTTATTTAAGTGTTTGCTAACAGCAAGAAGCCAATAACAGCCAAACACTGATAATACATACAATATAAATGAAATAATAATGAAAAGTATTACAAAAACATATTAACTAAACATATACGCGTACAATATAACCGATAGTAAAATATATGTCATAAGTGTATGTAATTTTTACATGAAATGTTTGTTGGGTATGGTGTACATTTAATTAAATAAGAATAATGAACTGTTAATGTGTGCGCTGCATCTATAATGCGATCATGTCCGTAACAGTGAGATATGTAGATCTGCAAGGAACGAATATCAAGACCAGTGAAATGTACAGAATATCAAAGAACGCATTTGAAATTAAAGTTAAATCCGGTTAATTGGGACACATCGGGAGTAGAATACTTTGGCCCAATTAAGTGGCTGCCCCAATTATGAGAAGTTTCACGTAAAGAGTTAAAAAGGTTTGTTCTTTAAGATTTGTCCCAAATAAACGGCTGCACCGATTAACATGTGGTTCATTTAACCGGAATCTACTCCACTACAGTACATGTTTACATTTCCTTTGCATGAATTTCATAAAATGAAAGCATGATAGGGCTACCGTCTCTATCATTGTATCCGAATGTCCCACGTTTAAGATTACTCATCAAGTTGCGATTTAAGGTAATGCAAAGAATCTGTACTAAATATTATCTGGTAATATTAATTTATATCTGCATTGGTCTGTTATAAGCATTGGTTTATATGAAGCCACAAGAAATGTGTTCGTAAAACAACTGGAAAGTGACGTAAAATTAACGCCTACTAGTTCATTAACACAACATTAACGAATGTTTTCGGATAACGTCAAAGGAACATCGTAATGGGATTCAATGAATAGATATCAAAGGAGAAACAAAGGAAATAAACGAAAAATCAGTAAACAAAATCAAACCGAAGATTCAAATTAGAAATTGTTGCGCATGACGTGTTTTGGTACAGATAAATGAGACAAAATTGAAGCCGGTGGTGCATGGAATGACCGACGGCACAAAGTAGGTCTTGTATCAGAGAATCTCTACGCTTTCGAGGTTACTTTCCGCACATCAGCATTTTAATGAATGTACGTCACAGAATCTGGGGCACCAGTAGTCTGATCCAAAAACCAGGATCCCCCCTTGTAGCCTCAAGAATTCAATTTTAGCTCTTTCGAACACAATGGCCACTTATGTACCAACTTCTTCAACATTAGGTAAATCAGCTTTTGTCCACAGTGCATTTATGGGTTTCTTATGATTCTCAGAATAAAATTGATCAATCTTACAAATTCCTGCTTTCGAGGATGAGCCAATATATCGAGAATGATTCGCTAAACATTACAGTTGCCATCTTCAGGGTTTCTGTAATATTTTGGGTTTTCTGGGAGCTTAGGGCAGGCATTAAGTGGCGAGTTATATTTGATGGTGCTGATTGGTGGAGCGTAAGAGCGGTCTAGATACGAACTGGTATTGAAAGTGCAAACTGCTGTATTTGCCGAAACGATGGATAATTTTCTTCATCCGACTCGGCCGATCCCCGAAAGCCGAAATTTACATTGAACTCCAGCCGTGAAAATAGCATTAATCGGAATGGACCCTTTTTTGTTTTTTTCTTCGAGATAGGAAATGACGTTTTAAATACATACTACATGAAAATTTGTGTTTCAGAGGGTTAGATCAGGATGTTGAAACAAGACAGTTGTGTACCAGATTTTAGTAGTGCGTTTGACACACACACACATCATATTTTAGAAGAAGATAGTGACATGAATTCGGACAAAAATTGCGAGACATGTAATTTCCATGGTACAGACGAGACGTTCATAAAAAGTTTCTGTCGGACGACAGAATGTGAAAGGAACGCTCGACAAAACCTGGGCACAGATGAGAGATTGATATAAATATGGAACTCACAAAAGACGTTATGAAGTTGGACGCCATGTTCTGCTAGCTCTGGATCGAATAGAGTGACGAAATCTTGTGAACACAGAAACAAACCAACCACTTCCGACTTCCACAAAATGCGGCGAATGCCGTTGCTAACTTGGAGATTGTTAGCTTCTCATCAAGGACTTTGCTTTGTCTATAGTGTTAGGAGGTGCATGCCATGTTTAATTAAAGTCCGCTAATTGAGGAAGTTACTGGATAAAAAGGAGATACAGTTCCAGGCTCCTGCAAATACATGAGTGTATAACAAAAAGAGTTTGCGTAAAATACAAAAACGAAGCTTGTAAAATCGTTCAATAGCAAGTCAAACCCCTCATAATTACAGTTAGGATATTGCTGCCTCCATCACCACCCTGATGATGGAGGCAGCAATTATCTCTGAAACGTCGGTGAACTTCTACCAGACTACACAGCGCAACAACCCAGAAGACAGGAGTCTTCAGACTCACCGCCTTGAAAACCTCAAATTCTACATAGGATATCTTTGATGTGGCATTTCGTATTAACATAAAACGTACATTGTTATTGGGGAATATGTGGGCCGATAATGAGAATGTTAAAATAAATCAAGAAAGAGACGAATATGGAATGTCGCGATTGCTGTCCCACGCTTTTACATATGAGAAAAAATTACGAAAGGAAAGCAAACATGTTTATAACATTCGAGTTACAATATCGATATCAAAGTGTCAACGCATCGTCAGCACGAAGGCCTAGGCCTATCGAAGAAACTAAATTGCACGTCTCTAATGAGATGTAGAAATTTCCATCCCACAGGCACTGCAAAAATATATCGGAAAATAAATATGAGTTTTTTTTCAAGTGATATCCGTTTGGGGATTATTTTGGGCGAAGAATTATAAGCCTTTAAAAACAGTTTTCATTGGCGCTGAGGTTGCCATCCCATTGACGGACCAGTCGGTGGATTCTCTCCACAAAGACCTTCAGGGTTGCTCGTGGAACCTTAGCACCACCTCGGCAATGATGTCTTTCTCCGACTCGACTTCTATGGAAAAGTAAACAGGGTTTGAAGATTTCTGTCTTCTGGGCTGTTGCGCAGTATAGTCTGGTCGATGTTTACCAACGTTTCAGAGGTCATACTGCCTCCGTCATCAGGGAGATGAGTATGAAGATTTCTGTCTTCTGGGTTGTTGCGCAGTATAGTCTGGTCGATGTTTACCAACGTTTCAGAGGTCATACTGCCTCCGTCATCAGGGAGATGAGTATGAAGATTTCTGTCTTCTGGGCTGTTGCGCAGTATAGTCTGGTCGATGTTTACCAACGTTTCAGAGGTCATACTGCCTCCGTCATCAGGGAGATGAGTATGAAGATTTCTGTCTTCTGGG